AATCTCAGGGGTTTTTTTTAAAGACTGTATTTACCTTTCCCCTTTTCCTCTCCACACACATTGGAGATGACTGGTAGCTTTATGTTCGTAAAATAAAAAGTATTTAAATGTGCCCAAAAATAACAAAATGACCAAAGAAATCTTCCTAAAGCTCAGATACAAAATTGGTTATCTAAGAGCAAAAAGGCATTCCCAAATGTTGATGATGGGATATTACTTTGTTCAGTAATGTGAGGTGATATGATATATACTAAACACTTCTTTTGTTATTTCATCAGGAATAGTGTGACCATAACTTTGGTAAGGAAAAGAAACTACATTTATCTTTAGTTATCTGAACAAACTCATATTTGATCACAGAAGTCCAAAATCCAAACTATAATCCCCCATAACTCTCCCTATCTGTAGAGCTAAGATATTGGAATCGGAGTACTAGCACTTCTTGATTAATAGGTACAGTAATTTTCCAGGTTTAGTTTGATAAGTGGCAATCCTCACCATAGCTATGGGCAGTTAGATGGATGGATTTTCCCCACCAACTGTGTACTGTTAATGTTCCTTTTATAATCAAAATATTTTGAAAAGCATTGACGTTGAATGGACAATTAAGAAATAGTCCCTCAACAGACATGTTCCTGATGGAATTGAAAAAAGTAGCATTGATTTGTTGGTAAACATCAACACAACTACCAGCATTGCTTGACAAAGAGAGGTGGCTAAAATTGATCCAGTCTAATAAGATATCAAATTCGGGCTTTTTGTTTTTTAATATTATTTGAAATAAAGGGGCTCAGTAAGGAGAGAAATAGTTGTCATACTGTGTGTGTGTGTGAGAGAGAGAGAGAGAGAGAGGAATGAGAAAATGAGAAAGAATACTAGTGACTGTCATATTGTAGATGCATGCTGTCTATTCGATGCATTTCTTATAACGTATCTTTGAAGAAATCAAAGAGGGGGGTGAGGGGATGCTGACTGTCTTAAAAGCAGCAGGTCAAGCCATGTCCTCTCATCCCATAATCCTGGTACATGGTGTCAAGATGCATACTGACACTGGTCTCTCTCCAGGGAGGTCAGCAAAATGAACTCCCCTACCTGCCTTGTCTATGGTGGAAGAAATTGAACTCTTATAGTAGCACCAACTCAACACTTTTCATGTAAGATTTATTTTAGAATGCACTGACAAAGTTTCCCTAGGCAGTAAAAGATAAATAACAGCATATTCAAAAAGTCTCCATGATCATAATAATAATCTCTCTCTCTCTGTATGTGTGTGTTGAGGGGACATGATAAGAGGGGAGAGGAAGCAAGCAAGTGGTAATCAAAGAACATCTTGGTCTTTCTCACATCTTTAATATTTACAGGATAGAGACTTAACACATTGTTTCGCCCCTGGAAGCAGCTGGAATATTATTTCTCTTCCTGTTTAGAAAGAAAAAAAATAGCACTGAAATTATTCACGAAAACTGTGTTATTCTGGGAATGAATTAGGGGATGTGAAATTCTTTTAGTGAGTAGTGGTAACGTGTTGTTGTTCATTCGTTCAGTCGTCTCCGACTCTTCGTGACCTCATGGACCAGCCCATGCCAGAGCTCCCTGTCGGCCGTCACCACCCCCAGCTCCTTCAAGGTCAGTCCAGTCACTTCAAGGATGCCATCCATCCATCTTGCCCTTGGTCGGCCCCTCTTCCTTTTACCTTCCACTTTCCCCAGTATAATTGTCTTCTCTAGGCTTTGCTGTCTCCTCATGATGTGGCCAAAGTACTTCAACTTTGTCTCTAGTATCCTTCCCTCCAATGAGCAGTCGGCTTTATTTCCTGGAGGATGGACTGGTTGGATCTTCTCGCAGTCCAAGGCACTCTCAGAACTTTCCTCCAACACCACAGCTCAAAAGCATCGATCTTCCTTCACTCAGCCTTCCCTAAGGTCCAGCTCTCACATCCGTAGGTTACCACAGGGAATACCATGGCTTTGACTATGCGGATCTTTGTTGCCAGTTAATACTGGCTTAATACTTATATATAGTGTATATATATTGCTTTCCTCCCAAGAAGTAAGTGTCTTCTGATTTCCTGGCCACAGTCTGCATCTGCAGTAATCTTTGCACCTAGAAATACAAAGTCTGTCACGGCCTCCACATTTTCTCCCTCTATTTTCCAGTTGTCAATCATTCTTGTTGCCATAATCTTGGTTTTTTTTATGTTTAGCTGCAACCCAGCTTTTGCGCTTTCTTCTTTCACCTTGATTAGAAGGCTCCTCAGCTCCTCCTCGCTTTCGGCCATCAGAGTGGTGTCATCTGCATATCTGAGGTTGTTAATGTTTCTTCCAGCATTTTCACCCCAGCTTTGCATTCATCATGATGTGTTCTGCATACAAGTTAAAAAGGTTGGGTGAGAGTATGCAGCCTTGCCGTACGCCTTTCCCAATCTTGAACCAGTCTGTTGTTCCGTGGTCAGTTCTGACTGTTGCTACTCGGTCCTTGTACAGATTCCTCAGGAGAGAGACAAGGTGGCTTGGTATGCCCATCCCACCAAGAACTTGCCACAATTTATTATGATCCACACAGTCAAAGGCTTTAGAATAGTCAATGAAGCAGAAGTAGATGTTTTTCTGAAACTCCCTGCCTTTCTCCATTATCCAGCGGATATTGGCAATTTGGTCTCTCGTTCCTCTGCCTTTTCTAAACCCAGCTTGAACATCTGGCAACTCTCTCTCCATGTATTGCTGGAGTCTTCCTTGCAGGATCTTGAGCATTACCTTACTGGCATGAGAAATAAGGGCCACTGTACGGAAGTTTGGGCAGTCTTTCACATTTCCCTTTTTTGGTATGGGGATATAAGTTGATTTTTTCCAGTCTGATGGCCATTCTTGTGTTTTCCATATTTGCTGGCATATGGCATGCATCACCTTGACATCATCATCTTTTAAGATTTTAAACAGTTCAGCTGGGATCCCGTCATCAGTGATTCTTGCTGTGAAGGCCTTCAACAATACAAGTCAAGGATCATTATGTTGAGAAGGGAATACACCAGCAGGGCCTTAGAAGACCAACTGCCCCTGTCATTTCTCTGCTCAAGGTTTCAAAGCGGACTCTAATTAGAGAAGAAGATGGTTCCTTTAAAAAATAAAGTTAAGGTACCATGTTAATATACAAACCCTTTCTACTCTGTGAAGCACAGCTTTTGTCCCTTTTGATGCCTGAACTGGAAAATGGTGGCAGCTCTTTGGCACTTCTCTCAAAGGAGTGCTGAGAGGCTAGAGGAGGTCAGCACCTCTTTTAGATTCTCATAGGAAGGATGAAGATTATATCTTTTCCTGCTGCACTTAGAAAAGGAAATGCTTCATTTCTGATAAGAGTTAAATAAGGGTACTTTCATTGATCCATGGATGAATCAAACCAAAGTTATTGGTGTGTGTGTGTGTGTGATTTTTTTGGCTAAAAGTTCTAGCCCTAAACAAGAGTACATACAGTATTTCGTAAGATGGTGATGTTGAAGTCTATTATTGTGGCAAGAAATATCATGGGAGGTGTGACATAAATATATATTTACTATCACTCCAGCACATTCAGTTCATCAGTGCATTTTACAGACACATTTTACTTATTAGGAGTAGGACCGGGGATTGCCATCATCAAACAAATCTTAGGAAATGGTAGAAAGCCCACTGTTAATCCATGGAGCTGCATGATCCTACTATATTACAACTTGCTTCACACACAGTCCTCTATTCCAGAGAGCAAGTAGCAAGAAGGTCCAAGGGAAGGAAATTTGCTTTGCAATTTTCTCTCTGTGGGGAAGGTATAATGATGCTGGTTGGACCCAGATAAAGAGTCAAGCATGAGGCAGTGACGTCAGTGCTGTGGAAAATAATGAGGAGAGCATATTTTGTGTGGAGAACACCATCTCCTAAAGCACTGTAAAATCAAGGGTTAGCTTGTGAAATCAGATAACAACTCAAATCTCATTGGTGATATAACATGAATGTCACCCAATCCTCTCTCTCACTCTGAAGTATCTCCTTTTACAATACCCAATCCCCTGCCAAGGTTTCTGACAAACCCCAGGAGTGCTGCCACACAGAGGTGGCCCTAGGTAATTTTCAACGGTAAGCAAACAGTTTTTGGTGCCCCCCGCCCAACCAATCACTGATATATATTTTCTGTTTGTCGTGGGAGTTCTGTGTGCCATATTTGGTTCAATTCCATCATTGGTGGAGTTCAGAATGCTCTTTGATTGTAGGTGAACTATACATCCCAGTAACTATAACTCGCATATATCAAGGTCTATTTTTCCCCAAGAGCGCCTCAAGAGCGCCCCTGGGCAAAATCAACTATACTGCAAATGCTTACTTTGCATAATGGGTTGAGCCACCCCTGCTGTCACAGCTCCTCACAGGCTGGGTAAAAGTTTCAAGGAAACACTCATCCATACTGTAGTTCAGAAGTTGGGGTAACAGAAATGATGTCAATCCCCCAGATTCTAAATTAATGTCAACCTCATTTCTCTTCTCTCAGCTTCAGAAAATGTCTTTAGCATATGACAGCTGCCTTGCAGAACAGCAAGTAGAGCTACATTTGCAGACCTCTATGCCCTAAACACGCTGATGTAGGACTGTGGCAAATATTATTGGGTTGCTTTCAGGCTTGTATTACGAACTCCACCCTGTGATTTTACTGGATATTTACTCCCAAGTGTGTATATGTAAGATTGCAGACTTAATTAAAATAAGTTTAGGGATCTTTCCATTAAAGCAGTGCTCAATTTATCAAATGTGCAGCAGGGAAAATCAGGCAGGATACTTTTGGAAAGTTCATGTCACATTAATATTTATACCACGTACAAAATTAACAGTATTCCATTTGCCAATACATGTACTGCCATCCATTATGCTGACAAATTAAAGCGATAAAAATGGGCATAAACTGGAGCTAAGTGTTGTTTTGCTGCACAATGGATCACAGAAGCATAACTTAAAATAGTGTTGACTTTTGCCATTTTGCAGATGAATTCAAGTTCTTTATGAAAAGGATGCCCATGAACTATTTCCTCAACACATCTGCCATAATGCATTTGTGGACAATGGATTCAAATTTCCAGCACCGCTATGAGCAACTGGAAACCAGCATGAAACAACTGTTCCTTAAGGCACAGAGAGTTGTTCATAAGCTCTTTAGCCTTAGTAAGAGGTGCCATAAACAGCCACTCATCAGCTTGCCAAGACAAAGGTAAGAAACAAAGAGAAATTGCAACCAACTATGTGGTAGTAGAGGATAAATTTTGAAAATGTTAGAAAGAGGGTGTTGGGAGAACATGGTATAGCAAGTTTGCGAATCTCTCTACACTGCAATTATTTTGTAATATTATAAACATTCAGGCATTATTGTCACATGTTGCCATGACAACATATTCCAGTATTATTCCTTCATCTGAATGGCATGTGTCTGGAATAGCCAATGAAAAGCCGGCTATGCTGTATGACCATATAATGTAGTGTCATCACAACATAAATGTCTATGTCCTGCCAGCCAAAATGAGATATTGCTATATCATGCAAGAAATATTTCAAGCAGAATGCTGTCATTTCCCTGACCTTTGACACTGAAACAAAAAAGATAGCTACATGTGTCACTGGGTGTTGGGAAAAAGACAAAATTGTCTGCCTTCAAATGGGAGAAGTTATAATAATTTGTCCAAGGCTTCTGTGAAAATTATAAAAAAAATCTTCCATAAATATAAAAACAATCATAATCTTTCCTAGCAAGGTAACGTTTTAAATGATATGTTCTTAGATGTAAGAACAAAACAGAAAGTGAAGATTTACATGCAACTCTCAAGGTCTTTCTTTTACAGCTGTGTGCTCTCCTCCAAGAGGATGGAATGTGAAATCTCTTCCTAGAAGCACTTGGGAACAGTTATTCTCCTTTTAAATAAACACCTTATATCTTTTTTCCCATATGAACCTGCCTGTGCTTTGACGTATTCTGGAGATGCTCTCCTTTTCATATCAGCACCCCCCCCCCCCAGGCCCCTTCTACACTGCCATACAAAATCCAGATTATCTGCTTTGAATTAGATTATATGGCAGTGTAAATTCATATAATCCAGTTCAAAGCAGATAATGTGGATGATCCGCTTTGATAATCTAGATTATATGGCAGTATCGAAGGAGCCCCAGACATACACTGGGTGACAACACAGGAGCTAGCCTTACTAGTGCTGTTTCTGGGCTGAGGAACATTTATTTCTTTCCCTCCTGTCCTTTTGTAGACACATGAAGACATTTTTCTTCAATTGCCTATGATACTTTTCAGGCTGGATCTACATTGCCATATAATCCAGTTTCTGAATCCACATTGTCTGCTTTGAAATGGATTGTGCTACACTGCCATATAATCTGGGATATCTGTTCTCTGTTCAACGGAGAAAAAGTTTCGGGCCTGAAAATAGCTGTTCTTTTATGATTTTGGGGTGCTGAAAACGAAAATGACATTTAAAAATATATATTGGCTATAGTTTTTATGATATAATCAATCACGTGATCACGTATGGTTGAAAAAATGCATGTTGCGACTTACACTATGGAAGATTCTAGAATACTCTAGAAAGTTTGATGACGAAGTATTAGTGCCGTGTGCAAAAGCCAGAAAGCCCTATATAAGGCCAGACTTTTGAACGGTGAGGGTCAGTCAGTTGAAGACTGAGACAGTATCGTTAAACATCGTTTTACATTGTTCTTTTTACTGTAGTTATGCCTCGCACGTGTGTAAATAAAGCACTATGGAAAAAAGATATCAAGGTAAATTGGCTCCGTCAATGCTGTCAGACTACTGCTGGAGCATTGTAAGAGACAATCCTTTCCTTGAATACAAAAGAAAAGTCAAGAGAAGCAAACAGGATATAAACTAAAGTCACGATTAAAGCGACATTTAAACTTTCAGACTTTTCCACTGCATTAGGCCTACTAATATAGTGTCTTGCTGCACAAACATAAACAATAGACTAATTAAATAAATATTTCTCATGTATAAACTATTGGCAATATAATTTGACTAAAATTTAGTAAATATTCACGGTTTATATACATGCAGTAAGGTTAGGCGCATTATCATAATATTAACGAATTACCTATTGTGGAGAAAATTGAAATAGCTGTTGCATAAAAACCAGAGCCAATTAACACATTTAATTATTATATTTGAATTCAGCATGTTAAATTTATTAAGAAACGGCACATTTCGTTTCCGTAACTGAGAAAAACTGAAAATTTGTAGAACAGTGTAATCAGGGATCAAATCCTGAAATATAGGGCAGTGCAGATCCATCCATATAATCCAGTTGAAAGAGGATAATCTTGATTCAGAAACTGGATCATATGCCAGTGTGGATAAGGCTCCAGTCAAAAAGGGGCTTTCAGAATGTACTGTACTGTATTTTGTCTTCTCTTTTTAACTATTATGTTTTTAACTGCTTTTAAATGTATTGGTAGTGGAAATAGATTTTTAACTTTTAATCATTTTAGCTGCTTCTTTTTAACCTTCGCAAACTCTCTTGAGTTTCAGAGAAGGAAGAAGATGGGATGCAAATTTTAACTACAATACTGCTACTTGTACTACCTGTTTTGGTTGAGTAATACAATAAAGACATGATGAAAGAAAGCAAAGAATTGTGAAAACAAGCACTGAAAGATCAATTGAAGATTGTTTTTAGGACACAAGATTAAACAGAATGCAAAACAGGAAAGAGGATAACATGTTGCTAAACAATTCCTGTTTCTGGGAGATAGGGTATACACTTGGTTGGCACAAGTAGAGTAAAATGCTTAATAAATCAGAAGTGTAAGGCAAATCAAATAAATAAAGGTTATTGTTGGCGGTAAGTATATTCAAAACCTTTCCAACTTCTGGAAACCCCAAGATGAACTTATCATAGGTTTTTCTTGACAGGATTAGTCCATAGGGAGGGTGCCATTGCCTTTCTCTGAAGTTGAGAGACAGTGGAATGTTTAAGGTCACCCAGTGGGTTTCCATGACTGAGTGGGAATTCTAACCCTGATCTCCAGAGTTTCAATCCAATGCTCAAACCATTACACCATTCTGGTTCTCGAAATAAACACTTTAAGGAAAAATTAGTAACTAGAACTGTCTATCATCAAGGTCCAAATAAACTGGATCTTGAATACTTGCTAGAAATGTCTCAGGTCCCTTCCCCAGAGTACCTGTTTGGAACTGGGTTATATTAGTCTATACCAGGGTCATAGCCAGAAAAGATGTTTGGGCGGGGAGTTGAAAAAAAAAATAGCAAATCATGAAGAATAGTTCCATAACACAAAATAATTCAGATAGTATGCTTCAACCATATTTTATATATTTTAAATCAATTTTCTGGTCTCCTTCATGGGGGGCTTCAAATCCCCCCTAAGCTTTAAACTTTGCCTGCCAGTTATGGGTGGGCCAACTTGGTTGCTTCCACTATATGAGCTATTTCTGCAAGTAATGACTGTGAATAAATTGTCAAAATTTGCTAGTGATAGTGCTTGCAGTTCTGGAGGGACTCGTTTAATTTTTGCTTCTCATAGGGCGGTTCCACACAGGCCGTTATCCCAGGAAAATACATGTTTAAAAAACATGGATTTTCCTGTGGGCCTGTTCACACACACACTCCAGAAAGTGCATGCTTTCTGGGGTGGGTGTCCAGATGTTCTCCTGGGACTAGCCTGGGAGAATGTCTGGAGGTCCTACCCCCCTCCCCCGAAGCCCCCAGACCCCTTTGAAAAGTAATGAAAACTTACCGGGCTTCCATTACAGGCTTTGAGCAGCTCTCCTCGCATGTAGTAATGATGCACCAGGAGAGCAGAGGGGGTATTTTCTTCCCTCCCCCTCCCCCCGCTCTCCTGGTACGTCATTTCTACGCACCTGGAGAGCTGATAAAGCCTGTTACTTTTCAAAGGTGTCTGGGGGCTTCGGGGGAGGGGTGGATATTCCCACAGTTTACTGGGCTTATTTAGCCCAGTAAACCGAGGAAAATGTGTATGGAATGTAGTCCAGACACCAGAAGCAGTAGGTTTATTCTGCGCCTCTCAAGAAGGCATGGAATAAATCCACTATCTAATTAATTCACAACAAACCAGGGTTTTCCTGGTTTGTGGTTTATTAATTTGGGACTGTCCAGAACATTGTCTGGACAGCCCCTCCTTTATTGCAGTAGATACCAAAATAAAGGTACTGTCTGGATGGGCCCATAGATTTAGCATAGGGATTTGGTTAACCAGCTAAAATTCATTAGTAAACCAGGTTTTTTAAAAAAATAAAAATACTCTGAAAAAATGGGGGGGGGGGTTAATCCCTACCCCCACCCGACCCCCTGGTACAGCCCTGGTCTAGCTACACTGTCATATAATCCAGTTCAAAGCATATATTCGGAATTTTACATGGCAGTGTAGAAGGATCTACTTTGTTGTGGTTAATGGCTCTCTGGGGCTGGATTTAGGCCCCTTCTATACTGTCATATAATTCAGATTATCAAATCAGATAATCCACATTATCTGCTTCGAACTAGATTGTATGAATCTACACTGCCATATAACCCAGTTCAAAGCAAATAATCTGGATTTTATATAGCAGTGCAGAAGGGGCCCCAGCCTAGATGAGATGATGATACTGATGGTGGTGATGATAGTTGCTAAGTGATGCTGCTGCTGATGTCTGTAGAAAAAGTTATCTGAGAACAAGATAAAATTCTTCCCGGACATCCTTGCTATAATTTCAGAGTGTAATACATTCCAGATATATTTCTCTAATTATATGATATCTCCAAGGCAAGGAACTGTGATGGCTTTTATGTTATTACAGGTGACTTTAAAAATGCATTATGATGAAGTGATCCAAAAGTGTTTTACTCATTGATGGAAGGACCATAAATCATTGATACTACATTTCGCCTAAATTATCTGTACTGCAGATTTCCCAGATTCAGCTGGTCATTTTCCAACAATATAGATATAGATATATAAAAGCAGTGGCAGCAGCCAACAACCAGACCACTCTCCTTTTTACAACGATGCTGCATTAGGATTCAATCCAGCATCTATTGAAGCTGAGGGAAGTCATAGTAAATAGACTAGTCACTGAAATGATGCCAAGGCAAAATATGATTAACTACATCTTCAGCGATTCACTAGAGGGACAGATTGCTGTCTTATGGTGACCATAAATTCAAATCAAGTGCA